AATCCACATCAACAGCAGACGTGAAATTCAACATAATGTCTTTTATCTCCATTGAAAGTGGGTTTTCTGCAGCAGCAATTGGTTTCATCTTCAAAAACAGCCACTAAATCTGGCTGTCAAACTCTAAATTTTTGAGTGCTGTTGCATCAGTGACTTGTTCTGGAACAAGATGGTCATGATCTGATTCTTGTGACACCTTTGTGTATTGCTTCCTGTTTTCTGTTCTGCTTTCTCTACCAAATTTTGTATTATTTTGAAGTCTTTTCATTTTTGCAAGAATAAGGCTATTGTCAGAAATTGGTTCATCAGTAGACATGCAATTCGTTCAAGACTGCATACTATTAATACCAAAAGACTTACTAAGACACCTTATGAACTTGCAGCCGAAGTTTATTACTTCCAAATGTTTTCGGTCATGTTAAATGACCTTTCTCAAGAAAAAGAAATAAGAGAAAGCAAAATAAATTGATCCTCCAGCATATTTAGTCTTTTTGTATTGTAATGCCATATCTTCCTGGTAAATAAAACCATCTTCTCATAATTATATAAAAGATAATATCATAAATGTTATTTCATTACATTAAGATAGCGAATGTAACATGAACTACAGATAAAACCCTTACCATAGAAAATTGCAGAAATTCATGACAACAGGACTGCATGGCAACCACATTTGCTTCCATTAAGAGAGAGGCCAGTCACATAATGAAATCCACCAGTTCAATTGGCTAGTGGAAATACAACAAATTAGCACAAAAGAAATTGGAGTTTTGGAGATAAGACAAAATTGCATAACCATTTACTCCTTTTGTATTAGCTTTCTTATTTTGACTGCAAAGAAACATGGATGCTGTTGCTGCCACAATCTCAGCTAAATAACTCATTTTCTCACAAAAGTGGAGATAAAAATATAATTCTCAGCTGTTTGAAGTGTTGGGAGACTCAAAGATCAAACAATATAAGCACCTATTTTCTTGGAAGCAATCATTCATAGTTTTCCTCTTATACAAAAGAGCTTAAAGTGGCTGAAATGGATGCTCAGTAAACAAACTGTTTAAGAATTGTTCATGATAGATATTCAAAGATTCCAGCAGTTGCTCTTTTATTTTGTGTAGATTCATTTATAGATGTGCTTCAGAAACCAAGTCATTTATACCTGACTATATAACCAAGCCATTTATTTCTTGTAACTAGTTAAAGTTGTGTTCAGATGTTGCAACTATAGATAGTATGGATGCTGGAACAATGAAACCAGAAGAGGTACTGGTCATGGGTTGATGAATAAAGGATGCTATTGTATTTGTCTCTTAAATTCAAAGTAGCTCTTTTCTGTACTTATAGTGATGATGCAATGACTTGAGTTACAAGTGTTGTTTCTTGCTTCTTGATTTTTGTTGTGGACCTGTACTATATTTTGATTTGGATGATGGTCGTGGTACTATAAAATCTAATAGACCTACATCACTTGGCTGATTATGCCTTTTAGCTGGGATTCAGGTGTTGTGCTGCATAGTGTCAAATTTGCCACTTTGCAATATTTTTATTAAAGTAATGATAAAACTAGTCCATTTTATTTAGACATTCAGCATGAAATTGAATCACAAAGCATGCTTCAGGACAAACAACAGAATGTTGAGCTCCCGTCAATAGGAGTTCCATGAACTACAGATCTAGGGATGTCATGATGTCACACAGGAAGTTTGGACAGGAAAGCAGGAAGTGACATTGAGAACCAAAGGTAGTTTTCATGCAATGCTACCCACTGTTTCCTGATTAGGGATTTGTTTTTTTGGGTGACCCTTTTTTTTCACTTTGAACCTTGTTCAGTGGACTAAAGATAAAAAATTCTGACATGTCATAACATGTGATTATGTTATTTGGTATTATTCGTTAGGAATCATTTTTTATTTCTAAATGACAGTGTAACATGTAACTTTTGCTTTCTAGACTCCAAACTGGTAAGGTAAGGTTACCAGCACCTGCATTAATTAGTAGGTAAAACTGGTGGCAGATTTTTTTTTTGCCACTTCAAATTGGCATTGGGTTTTTTCTCAGAGCCTAATAATACCCAATGAAACCCAGGGGATTTCTAGCTAAGCTTACAATAGTAAAGATCCAAGCCGATATAACGTATGCATTGACCTCATGTAATTGAAATCAATTATTTTTTCAGTTTATTATATTTTTAAATATTAAGTATCCTGAAACTGATTTTATTAAAATAGTAATACAATGTAAGTTTTAGTTGCATACAGTAATTATATTGAATATTCTTTTTATATTTTCATACTACTACCAGTCATTAGCATTTTTAACATATTATCTAATGTTTAAGGGGCCCCCTTGCCATTGGGTAAACTATCCTGGCCAGTCTGCTACTGTACAGAGACAAATTCTTATGGCTACTAAATTGTGATCATGTTTCCATCCCTGCAGTACACAAAACACTGTGGTAGGAGAGCTTATTTATCAATCAACTCTTGTATATAACATCTAACTTTTTCCTACTTTAACAATTATTATGAAGTAACATTTTTTAAACTTGTATCAACATTAAAATACTCTAAAGAAATTTGTTTTCCCAATATAAGTTCAAATACAATGTTTTTCTGGCAGCATTTTAAAATTATTCTGGTTTTAAAGGACTTTCTGGTCTATGAGAAAAAGCAAAGTACTAATTACTTATCTATTTTAATATATCAATGCACTTTGATTAAATATTATCATTAACACTATTTTTATTAAACTAAAGTGAGTTCATTTTGATAGAAGTTTCAAATCTACAAGGAAAAAAGAAATTGGTTTTATTTTTTTCCGGGCTATAGTATCATAGTGCTTTTTGACACATTTTCCGTGGAATATGCACCTTTGCAATCATTTTTGCTAGTCCCAAAAGACATATCCTAGCCCATCTCTTTATGTTTTTTAGAATTGGCTCCAAAGCTTTGACAATTGCAGTCACAGATGGGAATGCATTCATTATAATTTAAATTTTAGTATTAGTAATACGAAAGTCACAGGATGCCAAACTTTGGCTGTACCAATACAGGTTCCATGAAATATTTTTCTTGGCCTATATTAGTAACATATAAACAAACATTGTCATAGTGCAACCAATAGTGGTCATTGGCAAGGAGATTGGGATATTTTCTGTATTTGTTCCAATAATGTATAATACTGATAATTATAGATTATTGTGTAACATACAAATAACACCTTATCCTAGCCGAGAAAATATTTATGTCATAAAAACAAACGTTTTCAGCCTGATTCACAGGACATCATCAGGTTGTGAATGAAATTAGAACTAAAGTATTCCAAAATAGAATATAAATTCAAAAAATTAAATAACTAACGGAATAAAATTAAATAAATTAAAATAAAACAAAAATTAATCATGTGAAAAATATAAAATAAGAATATAACATTGTTTACTAACAATATCTCTAATAAAATTAAAATTACTAATTTAATTAGTTGGAGTTCTTAGTAAATTTTTTAATCATAAACTTCCATGCAGAGGGAAGACTTTCTGCATCCCTCGCATTCAAACATCCTTCATGTAGTTTACTTTTATAAATCTGGATCTTTTCTGCCGTCATTGCCAAAGATGGGGAATATACAGGTTTGATGATGGCTGCATCATTCCATTTGACTACAGAGTCTTGCATCTGTGCTATTTGTGATAGAATTGTTGCATTGGACTCTTTTTCTTATACTACAGGTATACCTCGACTTATGTCGTTCCCAAGTATATGTCGTTTGTCAAAAAAGTATATGGAAAAATAAAAATCAAGTTTAAGTCATTTTATTAGACTTTACGTCTGTCCGCCACAAATATTGAAGTCGTAATATCACTAGAAAAACGTTTAAAGCACATAAAATCATATTAAAATATATACATTTACAAGTACAGCTGTCCCTTGATAATCCGACAGGTATGGGACCAAAGGGGTGTCGGATTACTGAAAGTGATTACATATTTGGCATTGTTTTGCTAGCAGTAGCCTACAATATTCCCTACTCCAACTGTTCGAACAGAACTGCTCATGGAAAACACACGAAATGTGTGTCATCTTGTAAGAATTGGGTGGGGAGATTCACGTCGCAACATGCTTCTGTGCAAGCAGACACGTAATGCGGACGGGTACCTTGACGGGAGGTGTGTCGGACTACTGAGCATGTCGGATTACAAAACGTCGGACTATCAAGGGACAGCTGTATGTACTGTATTTACAGTACCTGAATTCATAAATTTAGATTACTTTTTTCTGTACTATATTAAAAACTAAAATTTATTTGTTTGTAAGCTTAAAATAGATCCTTATTAACCATATATTATTAAAAATGCATTAATAAATAAAATACAGAACCGGGAATGGTAATTTATGGTTTAGCCTAATGACAAGTAGATTCGACTTATGTCATCTCTCCTGGAACCAATTACCGACGTAAGGCGAGGTATACCTGTATATTTATGTTCTTTGAGTCTAATTCCTAAACTTCTCACGGTTACTCCGACATAATCTTTTTTAATATCCAATTGCTTATTTTCGTATGGAATTCTGTAAACTCCCAGTTTTTTTTCTGATTTTATGCTATTTTTATCGTTTCTGAGGATTTTATATAAATTTGGGGCCCGTTTTATAAGCATTCTGGAACCTTTCTCGTCTGCAACTTCCTTCATAACGTTATTCATATTTTCATTATAGGTAACCTTCACGACTCCAGTGGGACACTTTTGCATGACCTTTTTTTGTTGTTCGCTTTGTATTTATTTACCATTCAGTCTGAAAACGTTTGTTTTTACGAGATAAATATTTTCTAGGCAAGGATAAGGTATTATTTGTATGTTATGTTTTGTGGTTTGCTGAGTACTTTCTAATATAGCTTATTGTGTTTTTTATAAACAAAATACAAATTAAGATTTCTTAATATATCTAAAATTTTCATTGAAATTGTAAATTACGTTACCGAATAAGTTATGTGCTCAAACTTACTGGTGTCTGAGGCTGAATCAGTGGTTGAGGCGTGAGTCCAGTGCTACTTGTGAAAGGTTGAATAACACTAACTGCAGTTCTTTGCTGTTGATCATTTGACTGTTGTTGATCTTGTACTTGGGCAGAAAGGGGAGACTGTTGGATTTGTCTCTGAAGTTGTTGCATGTGCTGTTCCTCTATAGGATCAACCGATAGCGGTGTTCCTAAATTTAAATTAAACGACGGACTAGAAATATCCATTGTTAACGCTCTTCGGTTAAACCTTCTAAGCGACAAAAGTTTTTTTCAATATATAATAAAAACAATTAACAGTTTCTTGAGAAAACAATCTCTAGTAAGGATCCATATTAAAAATCACAACGTGAATCTCCCTCTAGTGGGAATTTACAAAATAACAGCATACAAAATATTTTTTAAATGTAAAACAAGTATGCATTATTTTATAATAAATATATATTTGATAATTTTNATAATCAAATTTTTTAAATTAATAACTAGTTGAAATTATTATTATTATTTTTTATCTTTTTTAGTTTTACCTGTTATAATTTATAATAAATTTTATATATAATTAAATTAAGACAGGAACTATAAACTTATAAAATTTTTAGAAATTTATTTCAGTAAAATATGGCTTTAAACTTTTTTTGTCTAAATTACTAACTTAAATTTTTTTTTCAACTCTCTGCCTTGTGAGCACTAAGAAGGCCTCTTTTTTGCAAGCCCATTATGGGTTCGGCCAGGCCCACAATGGGGCGGCCGGGTGGTGAGGGACGGGGCCCGATATAACCGAACGGACAACCCCCCGAAATTTGGATTATTTGACCCGTCCGGATTCCATCCGTTAGTCCCCCAGAGTGGTAGGTTGCCACCTTGACCACTTGGTCATCCGTCAACTTAAAATAATTTGTAAGGCATAGTTAATCATTTAATTCTAAATTATCAGAATGTGATTAGATTGAATCGGATTGGCTTTTTCAGCAATGTACCGGTACTTATAGGGTGCCAATAATTGCTCGAAATTTTATTTTTTAAAATTGTTCGTAAAATAAACAGTTCGAAAATGTTCCGAAAGATTAACAAGAGTTATGTTTTTTCTCATTAGAAGTTTGAATCCTTAATTGTAATCCGAATTATTTTCATTCCCACTAGTTTTTTCTTTTTGTCTGTCTCTCATATTATCTAATGGGCATTAAGGAGGCTTCTTTTTCAAACCCATCACGGGTTTGTCTGGGCCTACAATGGGGCGGCAGAGTGGTGAGGAACGGGTGTCAATGTATCCGAAATGCACCATTTTATAAAAAAATTTTGGATTTGCTTGCCTGGATTTGATTCCTAATCCCCACTGGAATAGAATGACCTGACGGCTTAACCGCCCTCGCCATCTAGCTGTCTCATCAGCATCACCATTATCAGGGAAAGGAAAAAAATGATCCCAACTTTAATTGCGCGTTTTTTTTCTTGTTCATTAAGTTTTAAAAACTGTGTTCGGAATTTCTTACTCTGAAAATTGTAACTCGACCATATCAGTTAATGGACTATAAAACAATGAAATTACAAAAATGCTTGTTTATATTGATATTTATAAAGTTTTCCGTAGCCGACTCACCTTTTGCCCTTTGTGAATGCGTAAATCCTACAATAGATAAGAAGATAAGAAATAAAAACAACTCAATCCGAACTAATGTTGAAAGTGTATTGCTATTTGGTCTTTTGACTAACTTGTAAGATTAGTTTAAAGTGTATGTTCTGATAAAATTCATATCTGATTGTCTTTATAATAAAAATTTATCTGATTTTTTTGAAAGATGGAGAAACTTCTCTATCATCGGCACAGATTGTACTAGGTTTTGCACCAACCATGAGTCTAAATTGGGTTTAAAACTTCGTGTCTATACAATAGAGCAGTATTTCTTAACAGGGGGGCCGCGGCTCCTTGGAGGTCCGTAAGAAGTTTGCCGGGGCCGCCAAATTATGCAAAATTTCCTTCAGAATATAATAAAAAGAAAATTGATGTATAACCGAATATCGTATTAGAAAAGTGAAATAAGAAAGATAAAGTTTTCGTATTTAGTTTTTTTTATTTATTCTTATTTTTTCCTACATACAACTTTGTTAGTACAGAAGAAATAAATGTAAATATGCTACTGACACCGCACTATTTACTTCTTTTATTTCAAAGTAATTCTAAGAAACTATTAATGCTTGGAATTTTGCATACAAATTCGTGCAGAAAATCCTCCCCTGTTTTCAGCAGCAATGCAAAATTTGCTGCCTATCGCAAGTACGTACTTTCGAATACAGTATTTTTCGTTTTTTCTATGAATTTTTAAATGTTTCTTATTTTATTTTTTGTTAAAATTAATGAGCTTTTATGTTTAATTGTGGAGTTTGAATGTTATTTAAACAGATAATAAAATAATAAAGTTATGTTTTACATTTATTATATAAAAAAATAAAGCAATAATAAAAAAATCAATTTATTATAGATAATTTAACAAATATAAATTATTATTAAAAAATGGGGGTCACAAAAAAATTATGAAATATTTGGTGGGTCGCGAGTATAAAAAGATTAAGAACCACTGCAATAGAGCGTTGTACAAAACGTAAATTGTACAGCCTACGATGCGCCATTTTAAAAGTGCTTTTTAATGTGTTTATGAAACAAAATGTGAAATATTTTAAATAATTATTTTTACACAAGTATACATTTGTGAATGTCCCTTTGTAAATATAAAACTTACTAATTGAGCTGCTCGGGAAAACAATTGTAAGCGCAATCACCAATTATTGCCAACACCAACGGAAAAAACCATTTTTTCCCGCTCTTGTTCTAATTACATCGTCATTAAATTTATACTGATTGATTGTAAAAACATTCAATAAATATTGATGTTAGAATAAAATTATTCGATTTATGGTTCAGTCACAATTTTATTTTTGCTGTATTCTAAAACTTCACAAATGTATATTACAGTAGAGCATCGATTATCCGACCCCCAATTAACCGTCACATCGGTTAACCGACCGTTCTAGTTGGCAGATTTCAAATGTCCGCTAGTGATGTGGCGCTACAATATTTGGCTATGTCTTGGCTACTTTGATATTATTTTTGTTAAATTTTTCGTGTTCAAGCTGGAAACACTGGCTCGACCATGAAAGAGAGGCCAGTATTTAAACGATACCTAATTTTCTAATTATGATTGGTTGTTTGTTTTGTGAGCAATAAAATAATTTAAAAATAATTTTTAACGATAGAATAGCGACGATTATTATTTTTAATAAAATTTGTTAGGCTTAACATCGATGAAAATTCAACGCGAAGTAGGTTAATAGCGATATACTAATATACTATTTACATGGGATATACTAATATACTATACTAATAATATATTTTTTCCTTCTTTTCGGTTATCCGATTTTTTCAGTTATCCGACTAACCGAGTCCCCAATTGAGTCGGATAATCGATGCTCTACTGTATTTATTTGTAAAGCCATCTCTGACATTAATCAGTTTGCATTAACTGCCAGACTGCCCGTTTTCTGATTTGTAACATTTGTGACGAAGGTGTTCTTTAAAGACGTATCTCTGCGATATTGTAACAATTTTTTTTCACTACCATTCCACGTGCAGAATTTGATTACCGTTACATGTCGGCTTTAAGAGGCGATTTTTTTGCAACAAATTGTATGTTTTCGATAATTCACCCCTAACACACAAACTTCTCTGCAAAATTTCAGAAATTTTCGATGAAAGGTACAGGAGTTATTTATTAAGCTTCAAAATGGGTGAACAAAATCGTACCCCTCACATAAACACCCATCAATCCATATATACAGGGGGAAAAACCCTAACTTTTTTGCATTCTCGACGTTTCAAGATCCACGAGTCCAAAAATGTAAAAATCTTGGGGGAGGTCATTTTTGACTGATCGCCATACTTTCCTTCTGTTATATATAACATCCAGAAAAGTAGCATTTATTTTTAAAAATGCAATTTTTTTTTTAAATCTAGATTTAAGTTATACAATTTAAATTTTGGCAACGAAAGATCAGTTATAAAAATTCCTTTTAAAGAAATTGAAATATACAAAATTAAACTCGGTTTTCTACAACTCAATCATTTCTTAGTCTTAAGAATTTGATGAAAGAATAGATTGAGACATAGGAAAGTGAGATTAATTGCAAGATAGAGATAAAGAAGCAGAATTATAATAGAGATATATTATCAGTAATTGTATACGTTTATGATTTATTGCGTTAATTGATAGTGTGATTGAATATAAAATATTCCTGATTTTTTTTTCTCTTGTGTATTCTTTGGGTTTAGAAATTATTCTATGAGACCTGGAATTTTGCATTTTCGAAAAATATAATAGACTTTCTATATAAAGAATTTCATAAACTCTAAATTTATATTCTTTAATCAAATTTTATAAAAGATCAAAACTGATTCTTAATTTTTATGCATGTTTTCAATTTTTTCCATTGAAATTTTATCTAAATATTGATTATTATTATATAAATATTATAGAAAAACTGGATTATCTTTTACAGTTCTGTTTAGATGATTAATTAATCCACAGAAGAAAACAGTTTTCTCCTAATTATTATTATTATTATTTTCCTGTTTCATATTTAGATCCAATTCAGGTTTGTTCTAAATATGCATACATTCATGAAACTGAGTATTCTACATAAATTTTTCTTGCCAAACTATTATAACGATTCTAAAAGAAGATAAATTAGAAAAAAGAAATATATTAAATGAATTATATAAATATTGTTCAGAATTTATAAACATTTTCAAGTAAATTCACTGAGCAAGTACAGTACTTGTCCACCCGGGATTGATTTTGATCAATTTTGATTTTATTTGTTATAAGTAATGAAATAATAAAATATATAAAATTTATTTTATTTAAATAACTAAATAAATTCATATTTAAAAAATTGATTTTTATTATTTAGAATATCTCAAATTTGAATTTTTATGAACATGTACAGGAAAGGTCAATCAGTATCTAATTTAAGGCAAATAAAACAATTTTTTCTGAATTTAATATAATAAATTAAACCAGTTTATAGTAGAAAATAATTTTAAAAATATAAACTATCATATTTAAACATTTTTAAACTTAAATTACCATTTTGTTAGTTTGTACATTGTACATTGTAAATTTAAATCATAGAAATAATAATTAACCAAATACAATTCTTCTAATAATAAATATGTATTGATTTATATTAATAGAAGATTATATTGTATTAATATAGAATTATTGTCAGTTATGTTAATGCAAAGTAAAGACCTCGCATTAAGCTTATAATGATGTATTTATAAGCTTATTATTTAATAAAATAGAACTTTTGATTAGAATAAAATTATGTAACATTATCTTAAAATCGATTAAAAATAAAATTATATTCTCCTACTATGTTAATTTTTTTCATATTTATAAAAATAAAATTTATTATTAATTATCTTGTTCGCTAGATTAATCAAAGGCTATCGAATTTTTAAAATGAATTCGGAAGTAATTTTACTTACAAAAAAATTTTTTTGAAAGTATTTAATTAATTTTTTATCTTTCTTGATTTTTCTTCGGAGTAGAAAACAATTTCAAATAGTGATTTTTTTAAAATATATTAATTAATTTATTTTATTTTTTATCATCATAGTAACACAGTATGAACAGATTTAATGTAATAATTATTAGTTGATATGTTATAATAAAATAACCTTAGTTTTATAATGATTATTATTAATGTTCTAGTCAAATAAAAATAAAATTGTGATTAAAAAATTAATATAGTCATTAGAAAAGTATGTAACACAATACCATACGTTGTATAACCCTCAAGAACGTAACACTAATTGCGAAAAATCCTAATTTTTCATGTAATCTACGAGTTTTATCCTTGTACTGTAATTAAATACTCCAAAAGATGTGTCTTAGTTTAATCTTTTTTATAAAACGTTTCGATACATTTCAAAATTATCTAAATTATTTCATCGAGAAGCATCCATGAAGGTCAATAATAAATATTTTACTGTAATAAGAAAATATTTAAGAAATTATGTCAACCTTGTTAAGTAGTATAATAGGATAATCCAACGATTACTCTATAAAATCCTCTTAACATTGGTCAAGGTTAGGTCAAAGAATATTGATTTTCGGCTGATGTCGTTAGCATATTCGAATTCCTTTTTTTACGATATTTTATTTTTCTATAGCCTTAATGTTTAAAATGTAGACATAATTTTAATTAGTTTTTTTTGTATTTTGTTCGATATTTTATTCATTTTTTTTTTTTGAACGTTTATAATAGGATAAAATCTCCAGCATATGAGTTACGAAAGTATATTAAAATTTTTTTTAAGCTCTTGGGCGATGGAAAAGTTAGTATGGATGTTAAGTTAATCGACAATATCTATATGAATTGACTTTGAGAAAATATGTAATTCATCGAATTGGTCTTTCCTGTACGACATTTTCTCAAGCAATAGTATTCGATGTGAATTGAACTCGAAGGACACCAAGGCCATTTGTATTTTTGCTTCCTAAGTTTAATACAATATATATATATATTTTGTTTTTAACTTTTTTTTATTAAATAAGATTAATTAATTTACAATTCTCTTAATTATCTTTGCTATTGTTGTTATTATTACCATTATCAGTTATCATTTTCGGCATTTAAAGAGTAATAAAATTTAATTTATTAATAAATGTCTATTATTTATCTTTAAATGTAATTCAAAATTCAAAATTATTCTTATTTCCTAGATTATTAATGTTTTTTATTTTGTAATAAAACGAAAAATAGGCATAAAACAATAGATTTGAGCTTCGGATTAATATATCAAAACGAGAATTTATAAGTAGTTTAAATAAAATTGATTGTTTAATTTGAATTAAAATTTAATTCCCATTATAAAAATTTTATTTTTCAAATTATTATTATGATTATTATTTTATTTGTTTTAATAAAATAAATTTAAAATTAGCTTTAATATTAGGTATTAAATTTTTAAATAAAAATAATAATTTATTCGAATTAAATGTAAATTAAATACTCTGGCATAATAAAATAAAATAGCGATAATTAAATATTGTGTAAAATTATCAAATGCCATTGAAAAAAATTAATTAAAATATTTCTTTTGAAAATATATCATATATAATAAAATGATGATAAAGAATATGAGGAGTGGCGCGTTAACCTACGCGCCAAACCTGGGGCCTCACCAACGAGTGGCCCCAAACCCATCTTTAATAAGAAAAAATTCCTCGAAGAAAAATGCCCGAAGTCGACACTGTAAATGGGCCCCATAATTCAAATTTACGAAGCTATAACCCGCTACCATATGTACGGCAAAACCCGTTTAAACCAGGATCGCACGGTACCGAATATTTTTTCCGGTTTGGTAGGTTTCGTTAAAAATTTTTTTTTTTTAACTTAGAAAATCATTCTGTTCCGAAGAAATTTTCCCGCTTAAGCAGGTTCCATTTTGGACAGGTTTTACTGTATACATTATTTAAGAAAACATGCTATTGGAGTTATTTTTTGTGACCTTTTTTATTAACGATTTCTCGGCATACATTAATAAGTTGTAATGCTTGTTATTCGGTAGAATAGTACCGGTAGAAAACTTGTTCTTTTTGTCATTATTCGTGGTTAATTAAATACTGAATATGGTTGTTGATGTTTTTGATGGTGCCACTACCTTTTATTTATATTCAGCTTTTGAATAGCAGTAGTTTCGATTCTCTAGAGACGAGCATCCTTTTCTATGTCGGCTCCACCCTTTACCTGTTCACATCTTTTACTATTTTGTGCTTCATTTTAGATATCTCTATCTATCTCTACTGGTATCCGTTTAGATTCATTTTCACACGTGTATTTTCTCATTCCATTTTCCCGTTACAACTCACCCGTCGTTAAAGGCGTATATAAACTTTTACTTCTGCTATTCGAAACTCCATTTTACACACGTTCAACGTCTTCCGGATGCTGTGGAACAATAAAGAGATATCGTTACACTTTAACGTTATTTTTTTTTATTTTAAAATTAAATAGATAAAAATAACATCTAAATTAATTCAATCAGTTTGGTAAATAAAGTAGTAAATAATTTTTGAATTATTTAAAAAATAATAATAATAACGACAATTTGCTGCCATCTGTTGAGGTAGAACGATATTATAATCAAGAATCGAATTTTTTCGAATAAAATAGAGGAGGAAAAAAAAACTTAATTATTGATTAACGTCAAGGAATTAGGAAGAGAAATTTTGATGATAATATATTAACCGATAACGATTTATATTTTCATGACGCGTTTTGCCTAATCGCGTAATATATTGCCTCTAATTTATCGTATCCAATTTTTTTATTTACCTCTCTTAAACACGCTTATAACTAATTTACGTAAGAAATAATAATTAAATAGAAATATTTTTAAAATTAAATATAAATATGATTTAATTATACTTATAAACCGTATAAAATATTTTAATTGTTTTTATTTTATAATTAATTATTACTATTTTTTTTAACGAGTTGTCAATTTTGCGGTGGCGTCACCGGCTAATAAACGAAAGCAGACTATACATGCAGACTGGACGAAGTGTCAGTTACCGTAGCAACAAGGGGAGAGTTAAGTTCTCGGTTAGATACGAAGGACAAGCAAATTGAGGAAGTCGGTACAACGGTCGATGAAATCATCATCCGTCAACTATCCGCTTGTTTCTGTTTTCGTTATCTCAAGGTCAAAAACTGCAGACTTTCCCATCAAACTTTTATTAAATGCGATACTCGTCCAACCTACTTACGTAAGTGAACGGTTCGGGTGTATTGTTAGAAAGCCAAAAATTTTTATTCTAAATCCTCCTTCGTTTGTAGCGTTGGATGTTTACTTTACGTGACGTTGTGTGGAATATCAACTTAAATTCGACGGTGAAGAGGGGAAAAAATAAAAAAAAAGTGGGGAAATGAGTATACTGTTCCGAATCACCGATTTCACGGTTGCATACTTGAACGCATTTCGTGGTCGATTTCCGGCCACGTGATGTAGAGTCTTGTCTCTATGGCGACGTACCACGTGATAGGTGTGTGTCGTCATTAAGACAACTTTTGAGTGTCTGGTGTGTGTGGCGTGTGTGCAGTTTCTACCAACTTGTTATTCCGCACGTTTGAACAGATGCGAATGTTCGTGACTTCGTTCGTGTATATGTTTTTTTTTCCTCCCTCCCCCTTTTTTACGTCTCGGATCCACTCGAACACGTAACGCATATAGACGAGAAGTGTTTGTAAATAAATTTTATGAAGCGTCTATTTGCTGCGTGTTAATGGCAATTTAATCAATTGATAAGAACTAATTAACAATTTTTTGGAGTGTTTCGTAATGCGTTGGCGTGCAATCTAGTGTTTTAAGCGTTAAAAATGCTTATGTTTGAAGTTCGGAGATGTCGTCAAATTAAAAATAATTGTTAATCGTACGAATTTTATCGACGTGAATTTTTTTATAGGCGCGTAAAATATTTCGAGCAGTTATAAATTAATATATTATTATTTTTTAAACGTATTGCGTTAGAACTTCCTGCAATAATAGACGAATAAAACCTTGAACCTGTTGTGACAATCTCGATGAAAGAACATTGACCACGTGACACGACGATGGTGTAACACGATGCCATCCCCATTGCCGGACGTAACGAGAGAACGTTTTCATCATCCGATACCTCTCTGCACCCGAGGTCAACGACATCATCAAACAAAGCAGGGGTCAAAGATCATAGCAATATCTCGACTCTATCGACTGAAGAAATTCCCCGTTTTTTAAGTATTTCGCTCGTCCTACATATACAATGTACCGTACATAGATAACTGGATAAGAAGAGGGGGAGAACGTACTTTACCTCTAATAGTGCTGCCATCTTTCGCTAATAGTTAAAATTAAAAGAAGCAGAATCATCCGCAGCATTCAGTTTCGTCTGGTTTGGAAGACGTCAAAATAAGGAAAACTGCTCTTGAGTAAACATTCGTTCCCGAAAAACAGTTTTTATTTACCATCGACCTTCGTGTAGTTTTGGAACTTTGTTCTTCTGGAAGACGTCCTGGAACTCCTCCAATTCCAACCCAAAGCCAAAATTTAAACCTCAACAAATTTAGATCTGTGGAATCTCAAATGCTTCCAACTATAAACAAGGTGTATTTGAAAAATTTATTTTATATACACGTGCACTTAATTTATAAATAGTAAAATAGGCCATTTAATTTATTCGGTTTTTATTCGTCGTACATTTATTTTGTGTCTTTCAATGACGACTGTACAAAGAAACTTCATTCAAAAACTATTTAAATCATAATGAATCATTATTGTCGCTCTGCTACGTGATGAAACTTATCAAACATTGAAATTAGAATTTAAAGGCAAAAAAGAAGTTAATTTACTTTTAAATGAGAAACAGAATTTTAATTGGAATTAAGTCTGTTTTTTTTTATTGGGAAACAAGAAAGAAAAAAATTAGCTAATTAAAACAATTTTTATCGTATTAATTATCAGTTTTTGCTATATAAAAATGTTGGTAAATGCAAAAAATATTATTTATATAATTAATTTTTAGAAGAAGCTATATGCAAATTGTGTTAGTGGCATTTTACTATACAGGCCTATATATATATTTTTTTTATTTTCATTTTTTAAGAAAGAAAATCTAGTTACTACTCACGTCTGACTAGTCACAGACTCTAGTAATTTGCCTCTGCTGTTATAGGCCATAAAGAAATACGTGAGGTGATTGTAGCGCCGGACCTACACTAGAGGCAAGGACGGGTAGTGGCCCTGGCCCCTTCCTTCCCTGGAGGACAGACAAACACGAGGTTTTTCAAGCTGGATAAACCTGTTCTTGTTGACTACTTGACAGTTATCAAATTTTAATCTAAAAATATAGTTTAAAATTTTTATTTTGAATGTAACTCTTATGTATTATGTTACTATAGTTTACATGCAATGCAGAAAGCTTTTGCAACACAGAGAACAATGATACGAGGATCAACTTTTTTTCTTTATTTGGTTAAAATGCAATGAATGAAGCAGTTTCCTCGAGAGACCTGGAAAGAGAAGCAGCGTTGTCCACCCACGCTCTAACTCGGTGGCAAAATCGATTGACCTTTGATATTCAGAGACTATACGTGCCGAACAGTCACCCGCCAAAGCGCTGTTAGGAATCTATATAGTCACAATACTAAACAAACCCATTAATTCTATTTTTAAGTAATTGTTATTAATGCTATAACGCCTTAATTTCGTAACCGTATTAATCCTAGAACGGTACTAGTTTCACCATAGGTTTTATATAACGAGGCTATTTTTCTTGTTTTTCTTTTATCAATTCGTCTATGGTTAATATAGAAATGTTTGCTAATCTCTGTTCGTATTTCTCTGCATTATATAATCCAATATTCATATCTTTTTTAATTGTTAGTAATGTCTTTGAATACACGTGATATTCTTCTGCATGATAAAATTTAAATTTTTATTTTTATAATTGGAAGAACACATAAAAATTGAAGTAGAAGCTAACGAACTGCAATGTCTATCCGAAGAAATTAAAACGCATGAGAGAAGATTTAAGTCAATACCACAGTAAAGTCAATTACGTCCAGTTAATTGTATCCTTTCTTTTTATTTTTGAAAGTCGTAGAAAAAGTTCACCCTTCATTGAAGATTTTGGCATTGAAGAAGGGGGAAAAAAAGAGCACGAGATTAATTAAATGGAAGTCGTGGTTAATTGCTTTTTTTTATGTATAGGTGACGCAATTGGATGTAAAGTTTGATGTTGGATATTGGGGATAATGACTCGGAGTTAAGTATCCTGGACTATAAACGAAATGATGGGAGATGAGAGCGGCTGATAATGACGTGGCTGGCTCTAACACAACCTAGACATCCATCTGTGTAAATGAGAAGTTCACTAAAATACAACTTATTATAAGTTTCTCGCAGTTCATTAATTAAAATTCAAATTTTCCTCCAACATTGATTGATTAAAATTCCAAAATTCAAATTTCTTCGATAAGCAAGTTATAACAGATTGATTAATTACGATTGCATCTAGTAATAAAACATTTTCTTTCCAGTTTAATGACTATAGTTAATACACTGCATGCCGTGTAAACCAAATGACCTATAACACGAAATGCTGTAAAGTTGGTAAACAAAATGACATCACGCATCACTTTTGTTTACTATTATCGCGGCAAATTCTATAAAATTATATTAATTATATTTTTATTTTTATATTTATATTTTTCTTTAATTAAATAAATTTGTTCTATCGTTTTCTTTCTTTAAATTTAGCCTAATTTTCCTCACGAATGTTTTAAGGTTATTGTCTGTATATTTTTTAACACTTGCGTAACGCTATTGTTATGAAAAAATAAATCTTTATTTCGAGAATATTTTGTATTAAGTAATAAATTGAAAATTAAATGATTTTCAGAAGTTTTTTTTTTATTATTATATTATTAAAATTTTAAGTCTGCCGGTTAAAGACAAAGATTAATTGATCTAATATTTTAAGTGCACTTTGAACATAGGCTAAAACAAGGAAGTAATTTATATTTTTATGGAGGAAACCGATTTCTAAATAACAGGATAATTTTAAAAATTCTTTTGTACAAAGAAAATAAACTTAGATAAGTGCGCTATCTAAAATTCATAAAATTACCTCATTTACAAAACGTTAATGAGTAAATATAAGAACAAGAAATGAAGGGAAAAAACTCAAATAAAAATAAAATATTACTCATTAAAACGTTTCATTGTGTAAAATAGTAAGTCCTATTATTAAAGCAAATTTTTAATATTTATATATACGAGTACATAATAAATCAATAATAACTTAATAACTCTATTAAAACTAATTAACAGAAAGGACAAATTTTGTATTTTTTTTTTACATAGTTTATAATAAATTTTATCATTTTATTTTATTATTACTTATTTACATAAATATTATTTCAATTTTTTATATTTGATAAAAAAAAATATTTTATTAAGTTATAATATAGAAGCAATTTTTGCATTTTCTAATCTAAGATGCTTGATATTTTTATAGTGCTAAATTAAAAATAATTAATAATTTTATTAATAAATTTTATGCATTTTATTATTATATAGTTAAAAAAATATTCTATCATTCATTCATATCATGCAGAGTACAAATCTTATATGATAATAAAATAACTAATGATTCCAATAAACATAATAATGCCGTCATGCGTTACTAAATATAGTATTTTAAGTGGAGTTGTTATATTTTTGGTATAATATATTCAATATATAATTTATATATTTGTAGATATTTAATTATAATTTTATACAAATTTGATTAAAAAATGCAAATGTAACATTCATAATAATGATTTTTAAACATTTAAATCTTTAAAAAACTTTTTTTATTCTTAAATTTTTCAATTATTTTTTTTTTTAATTTTAAATTTTGCTTAAAATTATTTCCTATTTACATATAAAATAAAACTTTATATTGCATTTTATTTTATAATTCGAATATGATTTAGTACAATTTGGAGGTTTGTATCTTCGTCTAATTAGGCCCTACTTGATCCTAACGAATAACTGGAGTAAGAAAATAATCAAATATTAAGGTAATCAAAAGTCTAATTAATATATGATTTGTTTCTAGAATATTTAATACTTTAATTTTGAAACAATAATTTCTATAGAAAACGAGTGATTATTTCTTGTGGTATGGTCACAATGCAGGGATGAAATTCTTAAACGTATTTTTAATTTATTTAACTTAAAATATATGCTCTCCACCTCAAATTAGTAGTGGCTTGTCCCTGTACATAATATTTTTCCTTCAACAATAGAGTCGTGTCGGTCATCTATCTAACACCTTTCGGGGGAAAATTTTTGAATTGAAATAACGTAATTTCCGGTATGCATCGGACGTTCGTATACAGTTAATAGGGCCTCCTGTCCCTAAGGAATTCGTATCTGGTCTCGTCTTTCATCTGTTTAACTCTGTTCTCGATATTAAGAAAAGACACAGACGAAAGTGGGAATTTATAGGTTTACAATTTTTTCAAATTGCCGCCCACTAACCTAAACTGCGCTATGCCTTTACGGACTGATGAAGTAATTTAATATTATTCTCATGTTTATTTCGAAGTAGAATCCATTTGAAAATAATAATGGATTCGGATATTTTTCTAATCTGTTTTGTTTGAAGTAATTTGAAATAAGATTTTTTGGGAGCTGCAATTTGAAATAAATCAGCAACGAGTTGCTCAACTTTCCCGGCAATATTTAAAATTTTGGTGATGGCGCCATCTATTATAATAAATGGTAAAAAAAATCATATTTTATTTAAAATCTTTTCATATTTTTAACTATTATAAAACGGAAAAAAGCTTAATTTTGAAGGTAGAGATGGGTGTTGTAAAAAATTGTAACTATTGATAACGAGTAAAATCGTCATTAAGTTCGATACACATCACCCTCATTATCTCCCACTACCTCGACCTTTAACCACCAAAATTTAGTAGCATCGATCCCCCTAATAAACAAACGTCCCTGCAAAATTTCAGAAATTTTCGATAAAAAGAACAGGAGTTATTAAGCTTGAAAGAGGGAGAAAAAAATCGTGCCACAAATACTAATATTGTATCCATACATAGAAATTACCCCCGAAATTTTTTTTTCGTTTCTCGACGTTTCAAGGTGTCCTAAGTCCAAAAAATGTAAAAATCTGGGAAATCAATTTTTGTCGGATCGCCATACTTTCCCTCTTATATATAACAGCGGAAAAATAAAATTTGTAAATCTATAAATTCCCACTGTCGTCCGTCCGTCTGTCCTTCCTTAATTAATCTCGAGAACAAAGTTAGATAGATGAAAAGTCGAGACCAGATATGGAAGGATTCACGGCAGGAGGCCCAGATTAACTATATACGAACTTCTGGTGTAAACCGGAAGTCATATTGTTTCAATTTCAAAAATGTTTCCCAGAAAAATGTTAGATTTGAAGCATATGAG